GAGTGAAGAAAAGAGCAGGAGCGAGAAGCACAAAAACAAGACAGGAAAGCTGAAGGAGAAGCGAGAGGGGGGAGGGGTTAGTAATGGTGAGGAGTGGGTGAAGTGGGCTAAGTTAATGGTTGGAGGATATTACATATAGCGATAATGAGAGGGAGGGACAGCTTAATTAGGGGGATGATAGACACTGGGAAGCAAAGCTAAAGGGTTATATGGAGCAAGAGCTCTATTACAGAGGGGAGTTGGGGACATCATAATCCCTGTGGCCTTATAAGTAATTACTATGTGATAGTGAGAGAGAATGGTAAAACCTATCTACTGTCAGCAGAATTGGAATTAACTCCCTAACGGTTCCTTTACTGCAGCATGGTTTAATATGTGTGTGTGTATGTGTGTGTCCGTGCGCGTGTGTTAGCTGCACTTCTAGCCTTTAAAGATTTAAGTGGGTGACTTTCAGAGTGAGCGCATTTGTGCATATTGAGGGCATTTTTTTCAGGCTGCACTTCTATAAAGAGTGAAACGGTTTAGGTGTAGGAGATGCGTTTAAGGGTGCAGGACTGTGTAACACCCCTCCTCTGGGCGTATGGATATAAAATCAGCAGGAGGTAAGGTTAGTGTACTTGAAAATTTTAACCCAGCAAGCAGGCTGGCATGTTTTTTCCCCCTGTCCCACAGACCGATGCGCAGTAACACGCTGCTCACCTGCTGTGGTACAGCAACATTCACCTTGTTAGGCAGAAGAAGACTTAGACTAACATTACAGGTCCCTGACGATCACTAGCTCCAGTGCTGCACACAGTAATTTAGCAAGCTGTGTACTGTGAGTTCAAGCAGACCATTTTTACTCACCAAAGTAAGTCTCTGACCTGACCAGAAGAAATTCAAATTTCTTCCACTTCGTGTTGCTGTGGCTGAACCAGGTCAGATGTAATTACAGACCTGCTGAGCGGCAAAAGATTTATCAGCCACCGACTAAGTGCAACACCCTCCACTGAAACGCTCGGAAAAGAAGTGAGCAACACAAAAATAACGTGAGACTGTGTGTGTAACCGCTTTATCAGGTGTGTTGGGTGTGGCACCGTACAACGTGTTGCATTTAGAGTACTATATCCTTTCTCAATGAGCTGTCACGCCGAAAGTATGGGTTTCACGCCACAGGGTGAAAGACTCTGAACAAACTACACTACAAAGTACTCTAACAAGTTACCTGTGATAAAGTAACTACCTCTGCTGTGGTTGAATAAATATCAATTTTTGAAAGCAGTAACACAAGCTGAGCACACCAAGCTAAACAGACCTACTGGCATCAGCTGCAGTCCACAACTGTTGATTGCTCTGTAAGTAATCTAAATATCTATTATTTTACTTCATAATTCATTAAATAAAGTACGCTGTGTACTTCCTGGGTTATTTCTGGCTTACTACCATGCTCAGTCACCACCGAAACACTCAGAATTACAATCCAACAGCAATGATTCTGTGTTGAGTAAATAGACAGAAATTTGCATCGTTCTGCTATTTGTGACTATTACTGAATAGATTATACACAAACTGCACCTCATCAAACACAGGAAGCTGTGGTACAACTTTGGTAACGATAAAAAAGCATCTTTGTCAGTTAAATAAACAGCTGTGAAAATGTATTTATAACTAGAAAAGTTACATTTTAGAGTTTTGAACACACTTGTGTCTTTATACTGTACATTGCTGCAGGACCTTCGTTCAGCCTCTGTCTGAAACTGTTACTCAGACAGTTCATGACCGATGTAGAAACCTAAAGAACTGTTGACTACAAATCGTCAGTACAGCCGCTAACAAGAAGTTTTATCCTGATAGGACTTCACACTGTGCCTCTGAGTGACGATTCAACATGTGAATACTGCTGAAATCACAGAATCACCAAGACTTTAAAGTGTGGCCGGAGATTTTGTCAGAGAACCTCTTTTTGTTATAAAATCAGGATTTAGCAGTGAAAAAAAGAAGCCTGGAAAACGGTGTGAAACTAGAGAGACTATTAGTCTTCAGTTCAACATTTACGATGTTACGCTGGTGCTGAAACATGGAGTTTGACATGAGTGCGTGTTGGCCACCTTGTAATATACTGCTGGGAGAAGCTGGGCTCTAGTGTTTCTAATGAAGCACTCAGGTCACTATCAGTGTAAAAGTGGGACCCTGTCAAAACCAGATCACTACATCTGTGCTTGCTGATCCACCAGCTGTGGGATAAAGAAGAGCTGGCCTCTAAGAAGACCAACACACCAAGTACGTGCTGCTTGTTGAATGATGTAATTAAACACATCCACACACCGCTTGATTTTTGTTTGTTTTTTTCATTCTAAAACATTATCACTTTGCTGCTTGTGAGTTTTCTTTGGTGCTGGTTAAAATGCCTTTGGCAAGCAAAATTATTTCTCTACAAAGAAAAAACCTTGACCTCTTTTTGGGCACACACACTCCACACTCCATGCATGGACATGCACCACAACTAAAACCACCAACAGAGCCTAACTGTGGGAAATATAGACTCAACTGTGACCCCAAGACATTATTTTAAGTGAATACAATACTGTTTCCAGCCATGTATTCAACAAACTAGACAACTACCATAGGTGGAGACACTACTTGTTTCCATATAACAGCTAACTCAGCTGCCATGCTACTCAGTATGAAGACAGTGCTGAGAGTACAGTAATCAGATATACTGACTTGTATACTGGCTGACGGGTATAGAGTTCGGCCTGAAATGTACTCGGGCACAGATAATGAGGACAGCAACAATGAGCCAAAAACAGAAGCAGCGCAGGTGCATGTGAGGCTGCAGCAGAAAAACAGAGTCATGTAAGCCAGGCTACACTCTGGTTTCAGTAAACTGCAGACATAACAGAGCAGAACGAGGCTACAGGCCAATATTACAAAAAGAAAAAAACAAAAACTCAAAAAAGCAACAAATTTGTGTCATCAGCAGGAAAGATCTAACCTGGGGACTTTTGTGCAAACACACACACACACACACACACACAGTTCATTACCTAGTGTTTGCTAATCCTGCTCCCGATGCTTCGACTGTTTAGTTAAGATAAGAACCTTTTGTTAAAACATGTGCAGCCCTGCAGTTTTTCCCCTGCTTATTTTCTGATTTACTAAAGAGATGTGAAAGAATCCTGCAGTTTCACTTTATATTTCAGAAAATCATTCACAAGATGAGTGAACGCGACATGAAAATGTTTCTCCCAGACACAGTTTGTGAGGCATTCAAGGCACTACAAGGACTACACTGTAAAAAAATTGTAATATAAAAGTATTTTATTGTGCATTTTACAGTTTTGTAGTGTTTTTCTAGAATATCATTAAATTTACATAAATAGACAGTGATTTTACATTTCAAATGTAAATTAACGTAAAATCACTGTAAATGTAATAAAACATAATTTTCTTGTTTTTTAAATATATTTGTGTGTACATATGCATATTTAGATTGTTAAAATACATTCACAAATGTATCATAATTTCACAAATATTTGTCCGTTATTTGAAAGATTGAACTGTTAAATTCAAATGTAATGCTATGGAAAAATATATAAAATGATTCTTATGAACTTTTTTTACATCAAATAATGTTATTTAGGGTGATCGTGGCTCAAAAGTTGGGAGTTCGCCTTGTAATCAGAAGGTTGCCGGTTCGAGCACCAGCTCAGACACTCTCGGTCGATGTATCCTTGGGCAAGACACTTCACCTACCACCTACGGGTGATGGCCAGAGTGGCCGATGGCGCGACATGGCAGCCTCGCCTCTGTCAGTCTGCCCCAGGGCAGCTGTTGCTACAACTGTAGCTGCCTCCACCAGTGTGTGAATGTGAGAGTGAATGAATAGTGGTATTGTAAAGCGCTTTGAGGGTCTCGAAAAGCGCTATATAAATGCAATCCATTATTATTTAAACCAACTGTTAACTGTATATTTCTGTACATTTAAGTATTATTATTCATATTGCCGCATTCATTGACCTTGTTTATAGGTAATTTCATTGTTTAATCACATTAAAATGTTCCTAATTTAATGTTTAAAAGCACTTGAAAAAGGCAAAATCCCATGTAAAATTAGGGCAACAAACTGTATTGTCATTACTGAAAATAACCGTATTTTCATGGGAAAGTTATTTTCTGTTATTTTATGGTATTATTTTGGCGCCCCAGCTGCCAGAATATTACTGTTTTTGTAGGATTTTTTTTTACAGTGTACAGTGTCCTTACTGTTACTATCAAGTTAAAGAAATGTTACCTGCAAATGAATTTTTGTTTACTTCACAGCAAAAATGACAAAAAAGACTGACTCTGTGCTGAAGTGCATACAAACTAAACTAATGTGACTATTCACTGTTACATTGATTTTAGGCAAAATGTTATTATCTGTTGTTCATTCGGTGAGTTTCTTCATACAGCTGGTGAACAATGTAAAATAGTTCACTCTGCATAGACATACATGTTTACTGTGCGTTTTGTAACACAACCATATCACCCAAAGCATGTGCTACCAGCTGTCAAACAAAACTGTGACTTTGGAGACCTACTGCCAGACTGATATTTTTAAGTGCCATTTGCCTTGTCAGGCTGTTGGGATGATGGCTCATCATCCCAACAGCACTCACTGACTGACACACACACTGACGCACACATGTGTGCACACACAGTATTATCAGTTGTAAATTTCTTGCTAACATCAATAGGAAGGAGCTCTGTCCTTAGTTTGTCTTACGAATAATGGGTGTGCTGGTGTTACAGCGAGGCAGGCATTGATTTAACATAATGCACCACTGCGAGCTATGCACAACAATTGGCTGAAATGCTATTTATGTGTGTGTCTGAGCATGTGGGTGTGCGCACACAAGGAACCAATCAATGCATGTGTAGACAGGAAAAGATGCGAGCAGGAAGAGAAGGTGTAGTGAAAGAAAAGCAGAGGTGTTGGAGGTGAGGCCTTCCAACTAGAAGAAAACTAATGGCACTACCTTCAGTTTGGAATCCCACAGAGGAAGCTCTGGGTAATCTCTCAGCCTCACCTGTGAAGTCAAGAAGTTGGCACTTTAAAACTCTGCACCTCACTGTCTTATACAATCCTCAGATTTCATGACCTGTTCAAAGATTGCACCAACTCAAACTCGTTTGTCTGTTTAGTAGGGACCATGGGACCATTAAAATAGCATGTTAGGCAAGTGGACTGACCATTTGCAGGCCATTTGGGCATGTGATGGGCTTTCCATTGATTAAGTTCACTGGTCCCTGGCTGGCTACAATAGACACTTACAGATGAGTTGTCAAAAACAATCTATGCTCAAATGTGAATCAATGCTAAAATTAATATCAAATTACTATTTTCATTTGCAACAATATTGATGCTAACAGTGCCATCTTTGCCTCCTCCAGCTGACACATAACTTTACAGCACTGCTGCACACAGACAGGCACAGAGTAGTTAATATTCATAACACTGAACAACACAGTAGCATTAATTTAAAGAGGTCAGTAAAGCTCCGGTTTCAACAACATTGAAGTATTAAACAGTAATCAGAAATGTTAACCTGGCTGATGCACACATTTAAGTTAGTTTTTTAACTATTAGCAATTATCCGATAGCAAAATTAGTCATCAGTTATCACTAACGTAGTAGCTAGTGGACTGCAGGTCGCAGATGGAACATTGAGCCGTGACAGAGCAGATTAAAGACACACGAAGGACGTGTGTCTTTAATCTGCGGTGTGGTGTGGTTCTGGCTCTGTGGAGCAGCAAGGAAAACATAGCTGAGTGTGGAGAATTGATCTGAGCAAATAAAGAGTAAAATGCAGAGCAGAAATCAGATGGGTTTCAGGCCTGAAGAGCAGAGCTGAGGAACTGAAGGGCTGCAGATTCAGGGAGAAGCATGACAGGTGGATAAGAAAGGGGTTGCAGGCAGATGTTAATAAGATGATAAACCTTAAATTTTCAGTTTTAGAATGCAGTAAACCTGTTTATTTTAGTGTAACTAAAACTCAATTTTAGTCAAGTTTTTCCATAATGTTCTTCTTCGACAGTATCTTAATACATGCTCATCCAGGTGAGTTAATCCCAAAAGGCTGATTTTGTTCATCTGGACGCAGCGTTTTCAGTGGGAGAAACGTTTCATCACTCATCCAAGTGACTTCTTCAGTCTCAGCTGACTGCAGGTTTCCCCAACCTTATAAACAGTACATTTGCACAATGACTAAAACCAGCCCCCTGAATGAACAATGGGTTGTCATGACCACTGACTAACAAACACTGATCAAAGATCACTGATCATGTCCATGGGGAAATCAGGTTTCCTCAAACTGTTTATAAGGTTGATGAAACCAGCAGTCAGCTGAGACTGAAGAAATCACTTGGATGAGTGATGAAACGTTTCTCCCGCTGAAAAAGCTACGTCCAGATGAACAGAATCAACCTTTTGGGGTTCTTCTACAATAAATACAATAAATAAATAATTAAATGTATTGTGTTGTTTGCTATACTCTTAGTTTATTAGTAGATTCTAAAATATATTTTACCTTAAGGATGTGTAATGAAATGTTCTATTTTCTTTCTTATTTTTTAAAATCTAACTTATAATTGGAAGAATTAGTTGAAAATTATGTTAATTTTGGAAGAAATTATCTCTTTACTATAGTTTCTCTTGTTACAGGATGGGGTCAAAGTCTTAATGTGGGATTGAAAATGGTATTGTAACAAAATAATGGCCTAACCTTTAACAAGCTGTAGCTAAGTGAAGGGCAACTGGTTGGCAAGTGGTTGCAGGATGTTGCTGGCAGTTGATAGCTGAAATTGGTCACGAAAAGGTACAAGGTCCTGCAACAAAAACCACCTTGCAATTGCTTTGGTCATTGACTGGAGTGGTTGCGCAAACCGGAAACTGAGAATGCTTCCCTTCAAACTAAAAGTTGTAAGTTGAAATGTGCTGATTTCTTTAGTAAGGCACATTTGTACTTTGACGAGGAACAGTCTCTGTTTCAGGTTTGCAATATAATACACAATACAAGATTCACTACACCTCTGTGGTTAGTTTTTGAGTGTTTGCAGACAAGTTGGCATCTTCTACGCAAACTATCGGCAACCACTGCTCGCAACCAAAGCAATTACAAGATGGTCTTTGGTGCAGCACCTTTCTTGCAACAGATTTTACCTGGCAGCAACCAGTAACCTCCAGCAACTACTTCCCAACCAGTCGAGGAACACACATTTTTCCCTAGTGTCTGGGTTGGCAGTAGGGCTGGGCGATATGACCCAAAATTCATATCTCGATATTTTTTAGCTGGATGCCGATATAAGATATATATCTCGATAATTTTTTTTTTAAAGCCATAAGTTAAGAACAAAAAGAGAGTTCTTAGTTACACTGTGTCCCAGCTGTCACACAGGCACTTTTATTAACATACAGCACAGATGTACATGAAAAATTACTCAAAAATAAATTATGAGCATTCATTAAATAATAATGCTCCATAAATAAAAGAAAACAATGTTGTTTTTGTGCATAACAAAGAGCTCACAATTGTGCAGTCAAAATGTAAACTAATAGACGCTGAGCATAATAAAGAGACAGATTTCACAGCTGCACCACGTCTCTGAACAGGTGCCATTTGTGGTCCTTATACACACACAGTACGTATCACTCCGCGAGGCTCCTCCTCGGTAGCCGTAATCCTCCGACAATCCATCAAGCGGTGCAGCTCCGTAGCTTAGCAAAGTCATATTAAAACATTTTTTGACAGATTGCTGAGCGCTGTGTACCACATAAAATCGGTTCGCGGTCAGTAAGCACAACCAGAATTCATACATAAGGCGCACTGTCGATTTTTGAGAAAATGAAAGGATTTTAGGCCGTGCAGCCCCTCCTGGCTGCATGTCGTTAGCGCGGTTAGCTCGTTAGCGCGGTTAGCTCGCTAACACGTTGACGCCGTCCAGCCCCACGCACGGTAACTCGCTAACGGAGATTTTCCGCTTTCATCTTGTCATTGCCTGCAGGTGAAGCTATGGGGGAGGGGGAGTTGTGTTCAGTGAAGGAGAGGCGAGGCCGAGTAACGTTGCGTAGAGACAAAAGTGGACGAAAGAGAGGCAAACCTGCGGCTCCACAAGTATAATTATAACGTAACATAGACTATATCGATATAAACGATATTGTCACATCTTATATCTCGTATGAAAATATATCGATATTTTTAAAAAAACTCGATATATCGCCCAGCCCTAGTTGGCAGGGTTCGTCAGCTAGTCTCTGGGCCCATGTGACCTGCGTGACCAAGGCTAAACTTGCAGCCTCTTCAATGGCCACCAAGGGGTAATCACTCTTTAAATAAATTGTCTTCTGCCAATTGACATGGTAGTTGTTAGACTTGAAACAGTAGTTAACACTGAGCAAAGGGACCAATGTTTCTCCTGGGGTTTTTCGACATTTATGTAAGTGTAAGCTGAGCTGAGAATTTCCAACTTTGGAGCAAAGAGTAAAAGCAGAAGAGTGACAATCTCCCTGGGGGAGAGGGGAAGAGAAAGAAATGTCATTCTTCCTCCTTTACATCTGTGCTGAGCCTGAACCTAGACAGACTGAAGACAGACAAGCGTGGTGAATATTGAGTAAGTGACCTTTTGAGATAAGGCCTGGAAGGTCGTTATATTCACTGTCATCACTGTCATGAGGACTGTAACAATGAATCCATCATCATCAATCATTATTTCACAGACTGTGGAAAAAGTTTTGGAAAAGAGAACTAGTGAACTTTGAAAAAACAGGTAAACAGTCAATTACAACTTTATGGGAACCTAATAATACCCCAACATTAACCATACCTTGATGGAGGTTTGAGTGTACAGCTTTAGGTTAAAACTAATTAGAGAAGTGCAAGAGAAGTGTACTACTAGTATAGTAACATTTCATCCACTAGTTATAGCCATCTATAAGAATCCCCAGTCCATACCCTCATAACCTTTAGCTTGGCAGGCCTGTGTGTGTATGGCAACTCTGTCTGAGTAGGTATTTGTCTATGGAGAGGGGTTTTCAAATGATGCAAACCTGCTCCTGTACAGTTCTTCAAAATCCCCAAATAACTCCCAGTTTTTTATCTAGCATGTTTATCTTGCACTTGATGCTACGTCATGCATTATGCATATTATTATGTGTAATATGAAAACTGTTTGTTATGTTTACATGTGTTTATTTATTTTACTGCAGCAAATAGGAGCAGAAGTTCAAATTCCATTGTATTCCTAAATACAGGGACAGTAAGGACTTTCTGATTTTTGCACTTTGCTAAACATGGATGATGCTGTGCAGCTGTCGAACGCTGACTGGTTGACAAGTGGGCCACAACAGGGAAGGGAACAGCAGAGTTCACCAGGAATGGGAGAAGCACACAAAACAACACATCAAATATTTAAAAAAAATACAGTTCGAACACACTGTGACTGCACTGGACACTTTTCATTGTTTTTAACACTTTGTTTCTCTTCACCCCTTTGTAGGTTATAACTTTGCTCTTCTCTCCGACTGGCTGATGGCCCAACAGCAGCACAAGCAACAGTAGCCCACAGACTGCTTGCACCACATATTTTTTACACTGGCCCCATTTGACAACAAGTAAACAGGCTGTTCATAAATGCTAAAGAAACCAGGCACCACCACCTCTGAACCACCGCTTCTTCTTTAGCCTGCATCAGTTCTAACCAAGTTTATCCAATAAATTGGCAACTTGGGGTATATTGTTTTATGAATGTGCACCTTACAGCACAGGTTTCCACTCTGCTGCCCATGCCTTCACTACATTACTTTTTAAATAATATTGGACTCTCATTCACTGTTACTCTGTGCTATTCTTTAGTGCTATATCACCAATATCTCCCCTTTCTTCAAATCTCTGAACAACCATTAGACAAGTGCTGTTTTTTAGCTTAAGGATGTACAAGAAACTATATTTCAATGTGTAAAGTCAGGGTTTGGAAGAAGTAATAAGTTTGGTATAAGACATAAAAGCACCTCAGTTAACACAACAGTTACTCTCAAGGGACAATGAATGTGTGAGGTTCTCTTAAAATAGTTTTTATGTTAGCCTACCGGACACTATGGAGCCGCTAGCCTACTTATACCCAAGTCACAGCCACTAGCTGAAGTTAAGAGCAGGTAACTTTCTCGAGGTTTCCATCGTGTCCCCTGAATAATGGAACGAGTCTTGAAACGGCGCTAGCTAAAGTACCAGCATTACTTCCCAACTGAGCCGGGAGTCACGTCTATCAGGGAGAGCGATAACGCTTCCATTCATTTCCCCCTCCGGAGCTACTTACTTTTCCCGTTTCCGTCGCCCCTTTTCCCGGCGTGTGTCGCCTCAGTTTTTCCCTCCTCTCCTCCCTCTGGTACCGAGATGGAAAGAGGGAGAGAGGAAGAGAGGATGGAAGAGGAGAGTCAGGTCCAGGCGGAGGAAGATGAGACACGAGGCGCGCCGCTAAAAGCTCCCACCGCACCGGGAGCACACAGCGGAGGAGCAGGCGGTAACACGGCTCAGATCCGTTTACCCAGCCTGATATATCGCCATTATGTGGGTCAGAGATGAAGCATTCATCTCCAGTTTTCATCGCACAAGTTCATATTCATTCCGTGTGACGGTATAATCCGAAAGGGGGGTGGCATGTGTGTTAACCTATATTTGGTACAGGAGAGCCCACTGACACACTTGAAGTGTTTGAAGTGGAAGAGAAAGACATTGCGTCTCTTATAGACAGGAGCAGAAGATTAGCTGAGATGAGGAGATGGTCTGAATACTTTATGGACGTGGCGCTGTTATAAATTAGGTAATGCAGTTTCCAGTTTCACTGATATCTATTTGATCTCCTTAAAGCATACTTAGATCTTATTTTCTAGAGCAGACATAGCCCTGCACAGACAGACTAACATTAGCTGATCTTTTTTCTTATGATATTTTACATCAAAGCAGGAAATACAGAGCTTGAATCAAAATAATGAATGATGGCTGCATTCTGTTTAGGTGTGCTGGGCTTCTGCTCAACTCAGGCTTAGAAGCAACGCGCTACACTTTTGTGCTGCATATTGATGTTATAATAAAAGAAATGCAACACAAGATTGTAGGTTAGGTCACAATATCTTATTGCGCCAAATGTATTGACATTTATCACACTAGTACTTAGCTCATACTGAGTTAGTGTCAGTACTTGAGGCGTTTTCACACCTATAGTTCGTTTAGTCTGGTCTGATTCGGTTTTTACTGTGATTTGGTTTCTTTTCACAGCGAGAAATCCAAGCAAACCAAAATGCATCACTTAAAACTACATTAGAAATTCAGTCTGGTTTTTGGGACAGATGTGTCTGGGGCAGGAGGAGTAAAAGTGAAAACAGGAAAAAGGTGTTGTGTTCAGAACTATCAGAGAACATGGAGAGTTGGGTTTTTTTTGTTTTGTTTTTTTGTTTTTTTTTTTGAACATGGAGAGTTTAAGTTCAGTTCATGGCTTTTTGCTAGCCCAACAGATCTTTTCATGCATGTAGTACCTTGCTGAATCCCAGAATACAAAGCATGCACAGCATATGGGAGGTTGAGGTCTGCAACTGTTTGAATCAGTTGCCAACTTCAAAGTAACCTTGCTGCATCGAGATGGCGAAAGAACAGCAATGCGAATGACTCAGTCGCCTTTCGGTCTGCGATCAGTTTGTGATTGAATGGGGTCAAGTTGGCAGTTACATTAAATCTGTTTGCGATATTACAGTAATTAACTGATAAATATACCAAAATCACAAATCTGTTACACAGACATTCACGTTAACTGCTTACATTCAGAGTCCAGCCAGAACCTCAGCGATCTGAAATATAAATTCCTTTTTACAAACAGTACAGTCAAAGACCTGATGCTGTGACAAACACTGTGGTTGCAAAAGCTTTTTTTTTCCTGTAGTCGAATAGAAAAAACAGTTTCTGTCTCTATCTCTATAAAAACACTTTCCTGATGAATTTATGGGCTCCGTAATTTGTTTTGGGTCAAGTTGAATAAAAAATAAATAAATAAATGTTTAAATCTTGGTCATATTATGTTTCAAGAATTGTCTGATAATTGTCTGTGGCATGAAACCACATGCTCTTTGGCTGATGACTTGCCAATCACAAGTCATTAGTCAATAAATATGCAGTTTCACAGTTAGACCCACTGCTCATCGTCACGTCTGTGTTATCTAAGATGGGGACAGCACATCCGGAGAATTTAATACCGTCTATGGTTGCCTCCCACCAGAGGGTTGACAGTGTTGCATGCTCAACATCTGGTCTCTGTAAATGCTTGTAATTAGTGAAAAAAATGAAAGCAGTCACCAGGCAACCACCAATTTTTCCTAGTCACAAGCTGGTTACCATCCTATTTTTACTCTAGTGTCACAGGAACTAGTGAAGCCCTGTTGAGAAGCCTTGAGCTGAGAGTTTTCACTGTTGTCATCTTGCATCTTGGTCAAATGGATATTACAGGTGACGTGTTTAGCTGGATGTCCAGGATGTGGTGCAGGGGTTGGTCAGCATCAGTTAGCTATCCACAGATTTCACTTAGAGCTACAGACAAAGCCTTTTCATCAGATGATGGAGGAATCTGAGAGAGTGCAAAAATGAGTTTGTAATTGTTTTAAATTAAAAACGGTGACTCTCCAGTCACCATACCCTGATTTAGCCTTCTCCTTGACTATAAACAAGATCTTGTGCTTAATAAGACTTAAAACTACTGACTGAAATCCGTAAGAAAAGTGTTTCTTCAGATTAACTATCCAGGGTGTCGAGGGTCATGTTCTCATAAATATCTGTACACTTCTTTATAAAATGAAGAAGTCATGTGTTGCTGGTGTAATCCGATTACTTTTTTCAAGTAACGAGTAAAATGAGGTATTACTATTGCAAAACAAGTGATTAGATTACTGTTACTTTCCCGTAAGCGTGCTGCGTTACTGTGTTACTAAACCATCATTTTGTTTGTGCGACGTCCGTGGTACCAGACGTGTGCAGATCAACAATGGATAATATGGTGTGCAGGAGAGAGTACGACCATGCAGTGTTTAAAGCTTGGAAGTACTCACATTACTTTGAGTTTGACTCTGTAAAAAGTGACAAAAACATTAGCGTGCGCTGTACACTCTGTGTGGGAAGAAAACTTTTTTCTACAGCGAAAAATTTAACTTCAAATCTGAGCGAGCACCGAGCACGCTGCCACGGGAATGTGACATTCACAGAGAAACCCCCGGATTCTCCCACTGACATGACTGCTGTGGCACCGGGCAAACCTCCACCCGCCCCACTCCTGCTAAGCAGGTGACAATAGATTTAAGAGACAGGACTTAGTCCTGCTAAATCTTTGATTTTATTTATTTTCTGCTGTGTTTTACTTGAATCTATTTGAAAGAGTGAATGTAAACATAAAACATAATTTTAGTTTATAATCTGGAATATGTTCAACAATTTATTCAAGTCAGAGAATGTTGCATAAAATTAAATTTTTACTTAATGCAATGTGCATAAAGTTAAAAGATTCAGACTAATAAAAACAATTTCATATGATGGATTATGCAGAAAAATAGAATTGGGCTGAAAGGTCTGTTGCTTTATTATGTATTCAGGTTGTGTATCATGTTTTTAAAAAGTAATAAAGTAAGTAACTAATTCTCCAAAAGTTGATTCTGTTCATCTGGATGTAGCGTTTTGTGGGAGAAACGTTTGTCACTCATCCAAGTGACTTCTTCAGTCAGACTGAAGTCAGTGAAATCAGTAAAGTAATGGGATTACTTTCTTTGAGAGTTAATCAGTAATTAGTAACTAATTACTTTTTTCCAGTAACTTGACCAACACTGGTCATCACACAGAATGAAAGTTTAAGGTTTTGTGGCTTCACTCTCTGGACCAGGATGCTACATGCATCTTTTATACAGTCTGTTCTGTGAGAGTGTGTTTGTACAGTTGGAGCCAGCGCACACATACCTGCTGATGCTCCCAGGAAAATAAAATATTAAAGTTGTTTGTTTTTATCTGTTGTACAAATATGTACAGTAGCCCTGACCAAACTCATTTCCCTGCAGACATGAGCCACTTTTTGTGATTTTCAACAATATACCTTTTTAAGGTATGTTACAGGAAATCAAATTTAAAATGAGATGAATTACGAATGTTTGAACTTCCTGTTTTTTCTATAATTAATATAGTGTCTTCAAAAATTATGTTATCACTAAAAATTGCAGACATGTAACTAGAAAACATTTGTAAAAAGCAGTGAGCATGCAGCAGTGTTATCCTTTGTGAACAGACCTCCTGTCCTGATGCATTATGATCAGCAGCTTCACCAAAACAATATGGAGGCTGTGTACATGTGGGCTCACTAAAAATACTTTCACGGAAGAGCGCTATCGTTAATGCTTTATTTATGCTGTGGTACAGCCTAATGTCTAATAAAAATGCTCTGTTTCTAACTTTTCCTTCTATTTCTTGCTTTTCCTTTTTTCATGCTCCTGTTTTAATTTATGTTTGTTTTATTCATATCCATGTGACACAGAAACCTGCTTAGTCCCTTTGAGTCATGCCCAGCTGCGTGAGCAAATGAACTAAGACCACAATGGATCAAAAGATAGGTGAGCAGCCAGCAGTTTCATTTATATGACAATGAGCAGTAGCCCTTAGTACAGAGTGGCCTCACGGGGCCTGTCAGGGGGACTCCTCACAGCATCAGCTGCACTGTCCAGTACAAGCTGCGGATTTGAAATTGGTCCACACTGTGAAAGACATTTCAAGTAGACAGGAGACTTAAAACTGATTACAAAAACCATCACTGCTTGCTGCTCCTCCACCTGGTGGCCTCTTAAAGGCAGCTGCATAGCTTTCATGGGCTGAAACTCTAAACAACAGCAAGAGCACGATCAGAATATGGAGAAAAAGTTAGAAATGTGCTGTTAGCAAGCAGTTTTATCTAAAACACAATAAGTACACAGCATGCATTCACAACAGCCAGAGGAATGAAAGGTTACTGTCTACACTGCTAGAAGTCAAACTAATTATGTGATGGCAGTATACCTTTTTGAAAGCTAAAACGTGTGTATGCATTCCCAAGTGGTAAAAGGGAGATAAATGGACACATTTCTGGTAGTCCGAGTTCAAAGAAATGAGTCTGTAATGAAAATAAATAGCTTTTAATGTATTTTGTCTTGTGTGAGCCACAGTGGTGCAAAGGTTAGCACTGACAGACAAAGATGGTACAAACGAAAAGGAGCCAAGGAAGGAAGGAGGGAAAAAGATAAGACAAAGACCAAAAACGTCACAGTTTATACAAAACAGCTTTTCTGTCTGATTTTAAGATAGAGCCACATCCACCACAGCGTTTAAAAAGGATTCTGAAACCTTTTCAAACAACCTCGTTTGTCCTTCAAAACATGTTGTTCTTTGTTTGACATCATGTGCTCTATGCAGTGGCTTATTCAGTGCAAAAACATAAAAGAATTTAGTCAAAGGAGCTTGCAAAGAAAAGCGTCTGGACTTCTTTAAGTTGCTTGAAGACGTTTCACCTCTCATCCGAGAAGCTTCTTCAGTTCTAAGGTCAAATGGTGGAGAGTCCCAGATATAAACCTAGTGGGACTCTCCACCATTTGACCTTAGAACTGAAGAAGCTTCTCGGATGAGAGGTGAAACGTCTTCAAGCAACTTAAAGAAGTCCAGACGCTTTTCTTTGCA